TGGAAAACGTTTTGATGTATCACAAAGACATCAAAAGAGGAATAATCTTCTGAAAATCGATATTTTTTTTAAAACTGTCAGATTATGTTTTAATCTGAATTCAAAGTAACTAATGTTATAAACAGATACATCTTATCTGATAAGAAATACGAATTATTAAGGTAACTCATAAAATATGTGCATATCATTACATCAAATGGATAAAAAATGTATCGTTTCAGGTAATGTAATAAGATATAAAGATCAAAGAAAGTTATATTTTAAAAAAACGTAGCTAATTTCCTACATATCGAATTACACCGTTAAATCCAAGGATCATATCAATTAACCAAAGGAAGATATAGATTTTTTCTCATAATTCAACTCCAGCAAAGACAATTTAAAAGTCTCGATATATTGGTAATATTTACACCAGGATAACATCATAATACTACTCTACAACTTCTTGAGGTGCTGGACGAATTGGCCGCTGAATTAGATCAAGGTTTATCTAGTAGATTGTATTGATATAGACTTTGGTACAAATCCACATAAATACAATATTAAGTAAAATGCCAGCTGACGGATCTAGTGAACATATTCTTACCTGGACGTAAAGTTTTATTTCAAATAGAGAACAAATGGCTTCTGTGAAAGAAAAACATTCGAGCTGGACTTCGATACTGTCGGATGTACCCCGCAAAGATCCGATGGGACCCATTCTCTTCGTAATATACATAAACGATCTTCCAAAATACTAACAACACCCCCGGCTAACCTTTTTGATGATGATACTCAAATGTATAGAGTGATGCATGGGCTTGGCTTATTAAGGAAGATTTTTTCCTGACGGGTGTTAAAATTATGGAACAGTCTTCCAGAGGATGTGATATCAACACCATCGATAAATAAATTAAAAAATAAGACTCGATGAATATTGGACTGATCAGGAACTGAGGTATAACTACAGGGCTATTGACAGGTGGTAGATTCATGTACAGAACAAACATCAATAATGTAAACATATCAGTATAGGCCCCAAATATGTATATAATCATGTTATTCATACCTAATCGTTGTGGTAAAATGTAAAACACAACGCTATATAGGTGACACAACCCTCCTGTCTGTCATACCAGCCAAGCAAGATAAAAGTCCAGGCATACGTATATCTTTGTTCGAGAGTACAATATATATATTAATATAAGTGGTACAATAAACAGCCCCACGTTACCCTTTTTAAGAACATGATATTGGTCGTCTCCTCCCTGGTATTACACCTGGTTGTCGTGTGATTATTTTCAGTTTGTAAAAAAAAACCTAAGCACTAAATGTTATAAGGAAGTGAGCGAGGAAATTATTCACGAGAATATAGATCATTACTCGGAGTTTAGTTACCTATTTATTCTGACTTAACATAGCCAGTAGGAGTGATCATGAATGCTATTTATGGAACAGGTGTTTTCCAACAAGGAAACAAAAATAGCTCTGCCCAGTTATACACATTGAAAAAATATTTCCGCTATATAACCAAGGATTTGCTCTGATATACAAAACGAAGAGGAAAAGTTTAACCTAATTATTCCTTTGTGCTTTATATAACATTGTAAATACAGCTGACTGAGTAGATTGGACAGCACAGTACGTCCTGTTGACCATCTCCCGTTGTACTGTGGCTTATCCTATAAACAGTGTAGTTAACATTCATTTCCCCTCTATCAAGTCTTTCAAATATTTACACCCATTTCCCGTGTATTTAGTCTTTCAGAGACTTACATTCGATGCCGACGTAATAAGCCTTCAAAGACTGATTTACACATATTTCCTCTGTTTTTTGGCGTTTCAAAGATTTACACCCCCTCCCGCCGGCCTCTATGAAACGAGTCTAATATTTTTTTTCAATTTAGCGAGCCTCTGGCGAGCTAAAATGAAAAATTCGTGACGTGTTTCATAAATTTCATTTGAAATGAAAACGAGTGTAAGATCCTTTTTATCAAATAATCAAGATTTGTGGCATTTATTCGTGTGAAACGACGATTTTCATGCAACCTTGTAAAGCAAGTCTTCTCCCTGATATTTCACTTGTTGAGATTAATTATTGTTTTTATTTTAATCTTAGCACCACAATATCATAAGAGATGATGGAGTACAATATTCACGAGACTTAAGCTCATTATCGGAGTTAGGCAACCTATGTATTCTGACTTAAGGCCTATCCCAGTAGGAGTGATCGTGAATGCTATTTATGGAACAGGTGTTTTCCGACAAGAATAAAAAATATCTCTGCCCAGATACTCATTGAAAACATAGCCGGTATTTACACAAGTAGTTTGCTTTGAAATACAAAACATAGTCGAAAAGCTCTACCTAAATATCCATTAGTGTTGTATCTAGCAATGTAATCTCAGGTGACATAGACGATTTAACAACACATAGTGTGCATGTCCTGTTGGATTAAGGATCCTATATACAGTAGCCTCCCCTTTATTTCTGTACGGATCCCTGTCCCACTGTACTGTGGTTTATCCTATATAGACGATTTAACAACACATAGTGTGCATGGCCTGTTGGATTAAGGATCCTATATACAGTAGCCTCCCCTTTATTCCTGTAAGGATCCCTGTCCCATTGTACTGGGGGTTATCCTATACAGTAGCCTCCCCTTTATTCATGTACGGATCCCTGTCCCACTGTACTGTGGTTTATCCTATTTACAGTAGCCTCCCCTCTATTTCTGTAAGGATTTCTATAAGGATCCCCCTATATACAGTAGCCTCCCCATTATTTCTGTACGGATCCCTGTCCCACTGTCCTGTGGTTTATCCTATACAGTAGCCTCTCCTCTATTCCTGTAAGAATCCCTGTCCCACTGTACTCTGGTTTATCCTATATACAGTAGCCTCTCCTTTATTCCTGTAAGGATCCCTGTCCTATTGTACAGTGGTTTATCCTATACAGTAGCCTCTCCTCTATTCCTGTAAGAATCCCTGTCCCACTGTACTATGGTTTATCCTATATACAGTAGCCTCCCCTCTATTTCTGTAAGGGTCCCTGTCCCACTGTACTGTGGTTTATCCTCTATACAGTAGCCTCCCCTTTATTCCTGTAAGGATCCCTGTCCTATTGTACAGTGGTTTATCCTATACAGTAGCCTCTCCTCTATTCCTGTAAGAATCCCTGTCCCAATGTACTGTGGTTTATCCTATATACAGTAACCTCCCCATTATTTCTGTTAGAATCCCTGTCCCATTGAACTGTGGTTTATCCTATACAGTAGCCTCTCCTCTATTCCTGTAAGAATCCCTGTCCCACTGTACTGTGGTTTATCCTGTACAGTAGCCTCCCCTCTATTTCTGTAAGGGTCCCTGTCCCACTGTACTGTGGTTTATCCTATTTACAGTAGCCTCCCCTCTATTTCTGTAAGGGTCCCTGTCCCACTGTACTGTGGTTTATCCTATTTACAGTAGCCTCCCCTCTATTTCTGTAAGGGTCCCTGTCCCACTGTACTGTGGTTTATCCTATACAGTAGCCTCTCCTCTATTCCTGTAAGAATCCCTGTCCCACTGTACTGTGTTTTATCCTATATACAGTAGCCTCCCCTTTATTCCTGTAAGGGTGTGCATGTCCTGTTGGATTAAGGATCCTATATACGGTAGCCTCCCCTTTATTTCTGTACGGATCCCTGTCCCAATGTACTGTGGTTTATCCTATATACAGTAACCTCCCCATTATTTCTGTTAGAATCCCTGTCCCATTGAACTGTGGTTTATCCTATACAGTAGCCTCTCCTCTATTCCTGTAAGAATCCCTGTCCCACTGTACTTTGGTTTATCCTATATACAGTAGCCTCCCTTTTATTTCTGTAAGGATCCCTGTCCCGCTGTACTGTGGTTTATCCTATACAGTAGCCTGGATTAAGGATCCTATATACAGTAGCATCCCCTTTATTTCTGTACGGATCCCTGTCCCAATGTACTGTGGTTTATCCTATACAGTAGCCCCCCCTTTATTCATGTACGGATCCCTGTCCCACTGTACTCTGGTTTATCCTATATACAGTAGCCTCTCCTTTATTCCTGTAAGGATCCCTGTCCCACTGTTCTGTGGTTTATCCTATATACAGTAGCCTCTCCTTTATTCCTGTAAGGATCCCTGTCCTATTGTACAGTGGTTTATCCTATACAGTAGCCTCTCCTCTATTCCTGTAAGAATCCCTGTCCCACTGTACTGTGGTTTATCCTCTATACAGTAGCCTCCCCTTTATTCCTGTAAGGATCCCTGTCCTATTGTACAGTGGTTTATCCTATACAGTAGCCTCTCCTCTATTCCTGTAAGAATCCCTGTCCCACTGTACTTTGGTTTATCCTATATACAGTAGCCTCCCCTTTTTTCCTGTAAGGATCCCTGTCCCACTGTTCTGTGGTTTATCCTATATACAGTAGCCTCTCCTTTATTCCTGTAAGGATCCCTGTCCTATTGTACAGTGGTTTATCCTATACAGTAGCCTCTCCTCTATTCCTGTAAGAATCCCTGTCCCACTGTACTATGGTTTATCCTATATACAGTAGCCTCCCCTTTATTCCTGTACGGATCCCTGTCCCATTGTACAGTGGTTTATCCGAAACAGTAGCCTCCTCTTTATTCCTGTAAGGATCCCTGTCCCACTGTACTGTGGTTTATCCTATACAGTAGCCTCCCCTCTATTTCTGTAAGGATTTCTATAAGGATCCCTGTCCCACTGTACTGTGCTTTATCCAATATACAGTAGCCTCCCCCAGTAATTAGCCGCAACTTATTTTAGATAGGAACTACAAACACTTGCTCATTGGCTGATTTAGACCTATATACCGCTTATATAACGTGTAATGTCAAAATCGACTGCTTTATTTGTTTTAAATATTTATTAAACTTGTTTTTAACAAATTTGTAGTTCTCCTTATTTATGAATGAACAATTGGTTGTAACATCCAGCGAATAGGAGCTATGCGGGCAGTACACTTGCTGATTGATCGAGGCGGAACACGTGGTGTAAGGCCAAATATAAACAGTACGACGCATATTGAAGGTAAACATTGAGCTCATCGGTCCAACAAGAAAAGGATTTCTGATAAACCTGAATTCATCCTTCGAAAACAGCTCCGGGCCGGAATTTAGTACTACAGGGTACAATCCTGACATGGAGTATTGTATCTAATAACAACAGATACGTTCACACAGATGGAGTTTCAGTAACAGTGATTTATCTATATTTAACTGTACAAATTCGATTTTCTATAGCTTCGGTTATCATTTGTGTTCTACAACAGTTTTTTGGACGTCACTGAAGATGAGGTGGGGACTGTCATGTCTAAAAACGGGGGCGGCAGGTAAGTACAGCAATGTTTACGTAACGACCGAAACGCCAGCGCTCATTCTCAATAAAATGATGAAGTTATGGACATAAGCCAAATAACATAGAATTATTGATTTAGACAGAATGTATATCATACAATATAATTAGATTTCACATTTCTCAGTGCTTTACATGTTTATTATCCAATAGCGATATAATCTATTTTCCACTGACGGAAGTTTTTGAATCACTGAATTGGTGACTGCTCGTTTTTTGGTGCATCATAATTACAAAACTGCAAAGCATACCACTAAATAGGCTTGTGATTGTACAATCGAAACATGTTATTGAGAATGAGTGGAAAGCTGGAAAACACCATACCTTAATATAGTAACAGAAAGTTATTTTTATACGTCTTTCATAAAGCTTAGTAAGAGTTGCGCCCCTTTATTAGTTCTTCTGAAAACGGCTAAAAATAATGGAAAACACCTCTCCTAAAAATAGTAAAATGTATCTATAAATAATTACGCCAATCCTTCGTCTTTCGTAATCATAAAGACAAAAATATTAAAAACAAAACAATTCATAAATACATGTATTTGTAAAATTCAAGGTAGATCCAGTTGTTCAATGAAATTTATCATAAAAAATCATGGGCAGTGTACGTCCCTGTAAACATTTTTTTTTTAATTCTTGTTAAAACAACACGTAGCTCAGACTTTTGAAAATCTGTTTTCTTATTTATTATGACATGGTTTATCTGTAGAATCACGACTAGATAGCAATATTATTCCGTGGTAGAATATATAATCTTAATACTGACATTAAGATATCCTGTCATGTATTGTTAGTATACGTATAACGACATTTGTCCTTACCCATTTGCCATCTTAAAGTGGACTGATGGTACTGACAGAGAGCGAAAACAAATTACTTCATACGTGGAATTATCAAATACACCTCCTGTAAAAGAACTTGACGACAACGATATTTCGAGGGGTGTTGATGTTTGAAAATATAAATGAATATTCACATAATGAAGATATAGATAAATGATCTGGGACGTCATACAGACGCAAATTATACTCTTTATTTTAATATAGATGTAAATAAATATTCTGGCCTTCATACATATGTAAATAAATAATATCGCCTTCTTAGTTGTAAATAAATTATTTGGTCTTCATACAGATGTAAAGTACTTATCTGTCCTTCATACAGAAGTAAAGTACTTATCTGTACTTCATACAGATGTAAAGCACTTATCTGTCCTTCATACAGAAGTAAAGTACTTATCTGTCCTTCATACAGATGTAAATAAATTATGTCGCCTTCATGCGGATGTAAATATATAATCCGACTTGATTTTTACTACAAACATACGTGGAAGATAAAACAACCTTGTTTACTTTGCTGCTAGATGATACAACATTATTTACTTGTTGATTATTTTGTGAAAATATCGGCATTCAGAAAATTTATTATCAGATTATGACATTGTATAAAAAGGAATATTCTTCAGACAGAAAAAGGTCTCTTTTATTGTTTTCATTAAGAAAAAAATATGATTATCTTCGCCTCTTTAGCTTCTCCAACTTCAATTTAAGACAGCAGGCCCATTTGACTTTTATATCGATACGACGTTATGTACATCCTATCGTATTTCAGTGCCACTAAAGGAGGTTCAGAACGTTGCCTTGATTGGTGCTTCTCTTGTTCACGTTGATTCCAATCTGCAATATCTAAACGAGACCAATGACCCCATCGAAGCAAACTTCACGTTTCCCCTGGATACCGGCAGCGCCGTCTACCGATTTGAAGCTGAAATCGACTCACGGCTGATTGTTGCAGAATGTCAAGAGAAGTCACAGGTAACATATGATGTTTAATTCGAGTTAGGGCCAATTGTACAATTTGCCATTTTTTTTTACATTTGTTGTTTTTGTTTGGCTTTGTCTTTTTATATTGCTTCACAAAACCAGCAATAAAACTAGTATAAGGCAGGAAGAATCGGAGATACAAGATCAAAGACATACGGGACTACAAAAATATCAAAGTGTCAAGTGAACCATGATTCGAACTTAAATTATAACCAAAGGAAAGATTGTTAGAGAAACCTTCATTGACGTCACCTGTCATGGTAATCTAGTTCAAATCCAAATAATGCAACGTTTTCATATCAAGAACAGGAATATTTAAGCATTGAACTGTTTTTGTATGGTATTTATGATCTATTTGAATGACACAGCTTTGCAAGCAAACAAATCATAATGCGCGCTAAGTTCAATACTTATATTAACGTTTTGTCTGTCTCTTATGTTCTTTTTTAATTTATAATTTATATTTAAAATTAAAAATGCCCGCCTTATCGACAGTCCACACAATTTCGTTCAATAGTTTGAACAGCGTTTTGTCGCGTGCTGATTGGCAAACAAAGTAGTACTTGGAAATTTTAACAAACACTTCAATTTTATTCCACAATTCAGTATCAATACAATTGCGTATGATATGTATATAGGGTGATTTAAGTTTATCAATAGAACTCTGAGCTGAAAGTTAGATTTTTCAATTGTATTTCGATTTCCCCCCGGAACAAATTTCGCGCATGGACAAATACAGTGAACACCGTAAATCCGACCTTGCCCTCCACGAGGGAGTTATTTTTGGAAGTTAATTCGAACTTTTCTCTTTGCTCATTTTGTGAAGAATCCAGGCGTGAATTTATTTGTTGATTGTATGGGAACCTGACAACAGTCGGTAGATTCTATAACAGC